CCACAAGCTATCAGTGTTTCAGACGGGGTGTGGGCAGTAGCCACACAGAAACATATCAGCCTGTCTAGGTATATGGGGGAGAGTCCACAAGGACATTAAGAATAAGGCCACCGTTATCCCTGGTGACGCTACCCATGGATGTTCGGCGGTTGGGGTGTCCATCTCCTTGCCCCCTATTACCAGATGGAAGAAAGGTATGAAGAAAAGATTCACTCATAGAGATGATTGGTAGAGGCTTAGTCAATTGTACAGAATTATGGGAGCCGATAGTGAAGAGATTCTCTAATGTTACCTTAAATAAGATGCCAGTATTAATGAAGCCAATAGAAAAGATCGATATGGATCACTTAAGAGATAAGTTAAGTGCGTTGGGAGACGAAGGTGTAGCTTGGGAAGACGATGAGCAGATCGCGATAAGTTGGTCAATAGTAATGGGTACATTCCTAGTTATAGCCATCGGGGGTGTAATAATATGGAAGATTAAGAGTAAGAGAAGATTAGCGAACGACAGTCTAGTGAGCATGCAACAACTCGAGAGGGAGATGCCGAGCAGTGTTCCTTACTCAGACAGGACTGGCAAGAAATTGCTGAAAGACCAATGGAGGAGGCTGGCGTGAGACCACCACGTGCGGCGGAAAAACCTCCCACGGCAGAGAGGAAAACATTGACCAAGAAGAACAAACCCTAGTGAACACATCTGCACCTACAGACACACGCACACATTACCTTGCATGTAGAACAGAAGAAAATGAAAAGAACAATACCTTGCATGTAGAACAAAAGAAAATGAAAAGAACATTTCATTGCATGTAGAACAAAAGAAAATGAAAAGAACATTTCATTTCATGTAGAACAGAAGAAAATGAAAAGAACATTTCATTGCATGTAGAACAGAAGAAAATGAAAAGAACATTTCATTGCATGTAGAACAGAAGAAAATGAAAAGAACATTACATTGCCTGTAGAACAAAAAGAAAATGAAAAGAACATTTCATTGCATGTAGAACAAAAAAAAAATGAAAAGAACATTTCATTGCATGTAGAACAAAAGAAAATGGAAAGAACATTACCCTTGCATGTTAGAAAGTAGAATAGAATTGCATGAGACAAATGCATGGTGCATGTTAAATGATGTAATTGGGTTTAGGTCTCATTTACGGGTAAATGACAAATCGGTTAGGGGAGGATTGTGGCACCTTGCATTATTAGAAATATTCATAGAAATATGATTTAATTTTTTTTTTACTCGGTTTATTAAACAGGTTGTTGATTTTTTTTTTAAACGGAAAATAATTGAGTTGAAAATAATTCACTAAGTTGTACTTAGACGATCCTAAGGAAAGAAGAAGGAAGGGGAAAGAAAAGAGGAAGAAAGGGAAAAAAAGGAAAGAGATGGATGATGCATGACCCGGTCATAAGCGAAGATAGGTGTCAGAAAGATATCTTGGCCTGCGTGTTGGCCGAATTTTAAAAGACAATAGAGAATTGTTATTTGAAATGAAAAATCATTTAGAGGGAGAAAAGAACCAGGCTTGATGACAGTGTATTGGCGATAAGAATATCGGTCAAAGCACCTAGCCTACTTTTTGCGTGGAAAGACTCATTGTCAAATTGGAGAAAGGGGAATTTCTTTTTAGAACAATAGAAACGAAATTTTTTTTTAATCGGAGAAAAAAAAAAAAGTGTCTTTTGGGTTGAGGGGAGTGACCGGTGGAACTGTATACAGATTCTGGCCTGTTAAGAATTGGAAACCCACGATAATAAAGTGGGGACATTTTCAATGTAGATAATTAAGATTTTCTGACTGTCGGGTCTGACAAAAAACAAGAGGTGAAAAAAATGATTGTCTCCAGCTCACAGATGGCGCCAATATTCTTTCCTGAAGTCACATCTAATTAGCGGCAGGCTGTTTTGACAGAGCCCAGGTGAGAAAAAGCCAAGATTGTCATTTTCGTACGTGAAAAAAGGGCAAAATTAGATTTTGTTTTTTAAAACAAGAACGATGTAAGCCACGCCCGATTTGAGATGGAGGCGCCCAACCACAATCTCATTAGCCGAAAGCGGTCACGTGATATGCGGAAAGAAGAGGAAGAATGCTCGATCAGGAACCATTGGTCAAAAACGGTCACCTGACATACGAAAACCGGGAGAGATGGGTGTACGCCTCCCCACCAAAGGCACTATGAGGAAGTAGGGGTGAAAACAATAGCGATAATGGGGAAACAGAATTAATGCGGCTATTGGAATTATCGAGAAAACCCCTGACGCCAACAGACCCACCCCGGTTTGCTGCGGCGTCAATAAAAAGCAGGACCCCAGTCGACAGAAATCAGTTGAGTTGAGAGTAGCGGCTGAGTTGCGGCAAGAAATCCTTTCCACCCAAGTCGAAGACAAGAGAACCTTTCCACCCAAGTCGAAGACAAGAGAATCTTTCCACCCAAGTCGAAGACAAGAGAACTTCCAGCCCAAGTAGACGAAGAAGAAGATTACTCGAAAGCCGCAGAGAAGATCCAGCCCAAGTCGAAGACAAGAGAAGTTCTATCTAAGTCGACGAAGAAGAAGAATCAACTGCGAATGATCGATAGAAATTAGCCCCAGTGTCGAGCTAAACCACACTCCGACATACACAATTCTAAAGAGTAGGCAATTCGAAATCCTTAGGTTGTGTGATAGAAGCTTGGTGCCATAGTCCACAGAGCGGGTCGGGAATTGAGAACAATTTTGTTTTTATGTAACGGACATTAGATATAAAAGGTTGTTACCCTTTTTTTATCAGCAATCCTTTTGTCTCGTGAGTTTTTTTTTTTCTTTTACTTGTGTTTTGCCACCCCCGTCGGACTCAACTTGTATCGGCCCCAATCCCTGCTGGTCCCGTCTGTCTAAGATCTAAACACAGCGTGGGTAGACAGACCGGAGATCAGTACAGTTGCTTCAGTAACCAGGTATTGGAAGCGAGTTGGGAAAGGCGAGACTGGTGATCATCTAACCAAGGGGTTGGAGCGGCACGCTTGGAACCAGGAGGAGCGACCAGGAGGAACGACGTTACAGTTGGCGCCGTAACCAAGGGATTCGACCCTGGGCCAGGTGTGTAACCGTCACATAACTATTTTTAAAAGAAACGTGTCTAAAATCATGCGAGAACATTTCTTTTATAAAAAAAAAGATCAAAATGCTGGGTCAAATAGCAGACAGAAAAATTATGTTATCCGAGCTAAAGAGCAGAGTTTATGTTCACTAGGAAGTACCAATAGGTACTATGTAAATATTTCCAACGCTGGTTACTTGTCTAGCTGGCTGGTCGATGCAAGCCAAGTAATTCTTTTCTGATTTCATGATAATAAGTTTTGTTCACTGAAATCATTTTCTAGAATGTATTCAGTTTTATTATTAATTTAATGACGAGTTTTTTTTTTTTTCTTCATCTTTTCCTTTCATTATTTATTGCAATACTTAGCTTATTTTATATTCTACGACTGTAAAAAAAACAACCAGCATAATCATAAATATATCTACTGGTTAGTTTCCGTAGTCTAATCGGTCAGGCGCTGTCCCGTTAAGACAGGCTTCTAAGGATAAATTATTCTAGTTCATGTCTCGTCGCGAAATTATTTCTTTTGTTGACGAATATTAATTGATAAGATGGAACTGTAGCGTGAGCGCATTGGATTTTTCTCAAGCAAGGAATAAGAATTATTTTTATTGCCTAGGCAAACAAAATAGAAATAATACAAAAATGGGAAATAAAATTGTGTATGTAAAGACGATATGTACAGGCATGTGAAATTCCTACAAAAGATCATGCGGTACTTACATTTGAGAAGAGCTCTTTATCTTTTGGCTTGATAAAATTATTAGATATTTCTCTTAGGGTGAGAGTTATGCCGAATTGTTCTATTGTCTTTAACATCGTGAAAATTGAAACCGGTATTTAAAAAATGAAATCAATGTTATACTATCTTATTTAATTACAAGGCCAGTGTTGCTCCTTGGAAACAAATTATTTTAGAGATTTGAAAGATAACCTTAACTTTATTAATACGTCATAAGCATACCGAAGACGGCGAGGAACGTACTCGCTAAGAATGGTTTACGTGGTGAACTCGCTAAACGCTATGTCACAAGCGCTTTTAGGCAAAGCATTAGCATACATAAAGAAAAACACAGAAAATATGAATTCATTAATTATTCGAAAAAGTATTCCCACATTTGTTTTGTAGTCAGGTAGTGTTTTCAACTTTCTTCGGACATGCCATACATTAATTACTTCTTGAACCATCCCGGTTCTTGTAATATAATAACGAAATAAGATTTTTGGTGTGATATCACTTTCATAGATTTTAACTATTCCTATATATTTTTGAAAGGGCGCATAATTATGTTTTATACATAATGCAGAACGTCTGATAAAGTACGTTGGAAAAAAAACTGTTAGGTAAGCTTGAGTCATCTTAAATTTAAAAAACAAAAATAGAAAGGGTCATAAGCTAACCTTAGAGAAAATGGAAGCCATAAAGGACATCAGAAAGAGACAGTTGGAATTTCTAGGGCAGATAATAAGGAAAAAGGACTTGGAAAATTTGACATACACATAAAATATGTGTCCTCCGGTAAAAGCGCGTCAGGCTATATGACGGTTCCGTAGAGGATACAGGTTCGATTTCTGTCGAAGAACGCATATTTTCTATGACAATTTCTCGGACATTCACGCCGGTAAATGTTGCTAATACTGTTTATTATAAACAAAGCATTTACTTAGATATTTGTATCTATAAAAAAGAATGTATAAACATAAAAATGTCTTAATATATATATATATATATATATATATATATATATACTCACTCTGGGTACAAAAAATAAATATAAGTTAGCAGCGTTGCTAAGCATTGGATTTGCCTTCTTTATGAAATACTTCTCTGTTTTGTTTTATTTTTGCTTTACCATTACTCATGATTATTTTTTCTGTCTTTGCTTTTTTAAACAAATGTGGCTAAAGATTCATGCAGAAACTACTACTCTGTTGTCCGTTTGACAGCGCAAGTTCGTCTAAAGTGAACCAATCACTCCTCGAGTCAATTTACCATTCGCCGAGCAAAAGATTCCTCCCACCCATTGTATCCCAGACAAACATATCTTCCGTTTATCAGTCATAATCGTCTCTACTATACTCTCTCTCCATTTTATATCCCTCAATCTATTATCACACGCACAAACACACAAACACACACACACACGCACACATATATATATATATATATATATATATATATATATATACAAACATACATACACACATACACAGAAAGATTTTATCCCTCTTACTTTTTACTGTCTTTATGCTTATCTAGAGATTAAACCAAATCCTAATCTTTTTTCTTTTCTTCTTTTCTCCTTCCTTATCACTTTCTCTTAGGCACATTTCTCCCTCTACTCTAATCATTCTTTCTTTCTTTCTTTCTTTCTTTCTTTCTTTCTTTCTTTCTTTCCCAGTCAAGTCTTCTGTCTATCAATTGATCTACATTTGTCTCTTACGATCGCCCCTCCTACTTTGCTTTCTCTTGATTTCGCTCTCCCTTTCATTTCTCTCTCTCTCTCTCTCTCTCTCTGGCTCCGTTCTTCTCCCTCTCCCTCTCTTTCTCCCTCTCTCTCTCTCTCTCTCTCTTCGTTCTTCTCCCTCTCCCTCTCTCTCTCTCCCTCTCTCTCGCTCCCTCTTTCACTCTGCAGATTTAATTCTCAATGTTTTCCTTCTTCATACTCGCTCTCCCTTTCATTTCTTTCTCTCTCTCTCTCTCTCCGTTCTTCTCCCTCTCTCTCTCTCTCCCTCTCTCTCCCCCTCTTCCTCTGCAGATTTAATTCTCAATGTTTTCCTTCTTCATACTCGCTCTCCCTTTCATTTCTCTCTCTCTCTCTTCGTTCTTCTCCCTCTCCCTCTCTCTCTCTTTCCCTCTCTCTCGCTCCCTCTTTCACTCAGCAGATTTAATTCTCAATGTTTTCCTTCTTCATACTCAATTTCAATTAAACTTTGACTCATTTTCAATCTCTGTCTTTTTATGCATCATTTTATGTTTGTTTCTCTCTCATTTTCTTTTTATTTCTGTCTCTCTCGCACGATATATATATATATATATATATATATATATATATATATATATATATATATATATATATTATGAATAACCCCTTTTACTGCTAATTTTTTAGGAGTCACTGTTTCATTTCTCTCTTTCTCCATCTCTGTCTCACACTACGCACACTTGCACTTGTGTGTGTGTGTGTGTGTGTGTGTGTGTGTGTTAACGAAGCACTATTCCTGCTAATCACTGGGAATCACTCGTTTATATCTCTCTTTCTCCATCTCTCTGTCTCATTACATACACAAGCGTGTACACGCACACACACACACATAATCATATATATATATATATATATATATATATGTATATATATATATATATATATATGCATACATGCATAATTCCTAAAAAAACACTGATAGTTTCTCGTTCCTCTCCCTTTCTCTCTTTCTGTTCTCTCACTACACACACGCTCCTGCGCTTTTACACACACCCATACACACACATACATATATACATATATATATTCATAATTCCTCAAAAAATCACTAATATTTTCTCTCTCTCTTTATCTATCTCTCTCTGTATATATATATATATATATATATATATATATATATATATATATATATATATATATCCCTCGTTATTTCTCCAAATTCTCTCTCTCTCTCTCTCTCTCTCTCTCTCTCTCTCTCAGTTCGTCAGTTTGTATTTTCTTGTAGTCTTATCGACATTGACTTCCTTCTGCCTCTCTGCCATTATTTCTTTTCACCCGACACTTTCTCTCCTTCTCTCTCTTCATTTCTCTCACTCTCTCCCTCTTAACTTTCTTTCACACAATTTATCTCTTTTATCGTTATCTTATTTGCGTTTGTTTTACATAGCATAGATGATCGATCCATCTTTCTTGCATGTCCTCTCCTCCAACCCAATCCTGACCCTTCACGTTCATCGTTCATATGCGCATGACTCATGCATCTCATTAGATACAAGCGTGAGTGCACCAGTGATCCAACACTTTACCAATGTCACTGCGAAACATTAATCTTGACCCTACCTTCACCCACAACTCCTACCGATACTAAAAATATTACTTCTACCAATGCTGATAGTAGTTATGATAAGAGCAACAACAATAATGAAATAATGTATTGGACTAGATGATAAATGTAAGTTTATTTCATCTACTAATGCTATTACTAAAGTTATTAAGAAAAATAAATTAAACGAGTAACAATGAGGAAAATTATGTTGATAATAAATTTGATTGTGATAAGAGATTGTGTGTAAATAACAAAGAGACAATCAAGCACAGTGACTAAAATGTAGAGAATTAGCCCAGAAAGAATACAACATTAGGCAAGGAATATCATCTACTCGGAACTGTGCAAGAGGATGCATTTTCAACATGCAAGCCAATGGTAATGCAGAGACCAGAATAGTTCTAAGAGAGCGAAATATGAAATTTCTTAATACTATTGTTCAACTAATACAATGTTCAAGAACCACTCATGATAGACGTTTGCTGAATGAGGTTGCTGTAAGTGGGTAAAGAGATTTGAGTGATTTGTTTTTTACGGCTTATCAACCTTTTAGTAGGTTAAAGATGAAACTTACTTTGGGTTGTAAGAAAAATTCATTTTTCAAGTGAATATTACATGAACAATTTCTTTTTTGAGATGACAATGATTTTTCTCGATACAATTGTAATATTTAACCCATAGCTATGAGGAGAGAAGATGTATTCATACCTTTCCCAAGGGTATTTGCGCTTAAGTGAATATAACGAATTCATGGAGATATTTAGAATAGATAATGGTGAACCCTAGACTCAAAGAGGTTTAGATTGTAGTGATCGGCAGTGGGGGGGCACCCTCTCGGGAGTCTATCCTACAAAGTGACATTTTTAGAGAAGTAGCTGTCTGAGGTAACTTCCTCCTTATCATTAGAATGGGGATTATTCAACTCTGCGTATTGGCATGATGAATCCTAGCTGTGAAGGTCTAAACTGGGGGAAATAAATTATTTGAGGTTTTAAGATTCAAATGATTCGACCAATTCAGGCCCGAAGACCGATTATATTATTAGTGAACAATATACCAGATTGATTTCGTTGTTTCAGCAGACTATAAAATAAATCTTAGGGAAAATGAATATCTTTCAGATAAGATCATGATGGCGGAAAATACAGAGGTACCATAATCTGGCAGGACAAATCACAGTAATATACCGAGCAGCAGCTGAAATTGTCCCTTTTGTGATTGGCGCACTCAAAACTATTTCCAGGAATATTTTTGCTATGCAAGGCGCCTTAGTGATATCTGTCATTATTGGGAGTGTGCGGGTGGTAGCACTGCTTGGAACAGCTCGTATTTATCTCTAAGCTTCCGGTAAAAGTCGAGATACAATCATCGTCACCCGGCCAAAACTCCTAAGAGAAGGTATCAAATAAAATCCTAATAATAATCCTCGGGAGTTGAAGAAACAAACAGTTCAATCTAGACCAAAAAACCGGATTCAATAATCATAAAGGAAAACATAACAAATAATTGATTTTTCTGTTCCATTAGATCCATAGAGAAGATCTAAAATAAATTGAAGATATAGTCAAGTATCTAGGTCTTAGGAGTTGAGGGAGTTTTAAAATCTAAAATAAGTAGTCGTATCAGTCGTTATCGGAACAATGAGAACAGTTCCAAAGAGACATACGCTTACATCACTTTGAAACATCGCTTCCCGTACGATAAGCCAACGTGGAGCCTGGTCAGTACCTCGATGGGTGAACTCTTAGGAATATCAGGTGCTGTAAGCTCGGATGTGCGGGTGGTGTAATGTATTTATATACCTCCCTACCTTGTGACTGAGAGAAAATATTTTGAAATATGGAAGAAAAATAGTCATTATCGGAGCAATAGGAAGGTTCCCAAAGATCTTAGGAGAAAATGTAGACGAATAACAATTCATTAGAAGAACCGTTACCATCAACACGACAGCAATAATAATAATAATAATAATAATAATAATAATAATGAATTATTTTCCACTCTACAACCCTTTCCTACAGACGAAATGTCGCAAACTTATCCCTACTACATCACTTTTTGTATGGTAAATGTTCAAACGAGTTAAATTCTTTAGTTCCGACAGTTATGACCCACCATGCCATGAATACGGGATCGAATCATACTCATTCCGTTCCTGTTCCATTGGTAAGAAATAAATTCCATTCGGATAGCTTCTCTCAGAAAGCCACTGCTTTGTGGGACAGTTTCCCTAAAAGATACTTCCTTGATCACTACAATCATTTCAAGTATAGGGTCAAACATATCTCAAATAACCTCATTAGTTTAATTTATCAACCACTGATACACTAACACTGAATGTGAATATAGAAGACAAGATACGCGCTAGTAACAAACAAAACATTTAATAAGGCAAACAACTTACATACAAATATTAAAAGGATTTACATATGTCCTAAAACAAATGATTGTTCATACTGTCCAAAGAACGAAGATGTTTACAAAACGAGATCAAAGAAATAACATACCAGCCTTATGGGCTTTGAACGTCCGTAGCTAGGTGAATCAAAATTACTTTTTTTTTCTCCACGTTAGGCTGTGCACATGTTGACCAGTTTCCACGTGTGTGGACGCCCTGATAGCTAGGAAGGTAATGACCGTTCCTCAAAAATAAAAGGAAACAAAAAAGAAAAAAAGGACAGAAGAGTTCTCCTGCCTAGAGGGTCTATACTCCTATCAGCTCAACCCAAGGGAAAATAACTGTGGTCTCCCTACAACCTCATAATCTGCACTTACGTCCTCCTTTTACATTCATACACCATCATTATCATCATCGTTCAGTAACGCTCTACCTTCAGTGCCTCTTGTGCCTTGTATTGAGTGAACATTAATAAATAAAAATAAGTTAGTTTATAAAGAGAAAAAATATAGACAAGACTGTGTACAATGGTAATCGACTATCAATGGTGAGCACAATTAGATTTTGATTATAGAAAACAATGTTAGAGCTCTTCGACGTGATTTAATGGTTAGTAAGCTTATCTCGCAAGATCAATTAAGACTAAGTAATGGGTTCGATCCTCACTGAACGCTCCACACTTAGAAAATCATTTTATATAGTTACCTGGCACTTTCGAAATAATATCAGTTCATATAATAGTATTAATTGATGCTCCTGCCGGGGGTACGAAGACAGTACCTCTCATTCAAAAGAAGGCTGAGATCATTACCCCACGCCTGAGGCGTCACCAAATGGGGGAAGTGCCGAGAGGTCTTCAGCAAATTTTCCACGGTATTGCCATTAGCCCCACTTAAACAGACCTTGTGTCACATTCGGTAGCGACGTGGGTGCATTGAAAAATCCACATTGAAATTGGTATATGCACAAATGAGAATAAAAAGTGCAACTTTGCGAGGCCCTCAAATCCGAAACAATCATCCAGTGCAGGTTGGTAGGCCAGATCATAAAATAAAAGAAATAACTGTCAGATCGTGGATTTTATTGTTCTAGCAGACAACAGAATAAAATTGAAAAAAATAAAACGTTAAAAAATATCTGGATTTAGTCCGAGATACTGAAAAACATTATGGAATATGAAGGCGATGAGTATATCCATATAACTGTGCACATAGTACAGCCTTCAAGAGATTTAAGAAGAGTTTGGAAGGATGGTAATTTCGAAGCATTGAAGCTATCCAAAGAATTGTTAAAAATCAACTGGGGGTACTGAGGTGATTTGTTGTCATGTGATCTACTGTGAAACTTACTGTTTGCGCGAAAATAAATAAATAAATAACAATAATAATAATAATATTACAAGGACCTTGAAATCGAAATCTCAAGAACGTGGCACATGGGAACAATTCCTGTTGTAGCTGGGGCCCTCGGATTGGTTGAAAAAGATACCAGTAGACTCAGTGAATCGATTCCTGGAAGCCCAAGCCTTAAACAAATACCAAAAAATTGTTCTCACGAGTATAGCCCACACCTTACGAAGGGCTTTATCTCTGTAAAATGTATGTATGTATATATGTGAGTGTGTGTGTTTAATTTGACACTGGAAAATGTCATGACGCCATTTCCGACCTCAGGTCTCTGGGATGGACCCGGAAAGATATGTGTACACACCAAAAATCAAAGGAGATAAAATAATAATAATAATAATAATAATAATAATAATAATAATAATAATTGCAGAATATCAAGGAGGTTCCTGAATCTGTTAAGAAACTTACTGTCACTTAATATTCAGTGAAATTATCAGATATTACTGATGTGAAAATTCAAATAATAATTATTATTATTATTAAAATACGTTGAGGTTTTAAGAATAAAATGGTTCGCCCAATCCAGGTCTGAAGACCGGTTATATCATTAGTGAAAAAGAAGTAAAGAACATGCCAGAGATTTGATTTCGTTGTTTCAGCAGACTATAAAATAAATCTTAGGGAAAATGAATATCTTTCAGATAAGATCATGATGGCGGAAAAATAGAGGTACCATAATCTGGCAGGACAAATCAAAGAAATATACCGAGCAGCAGCTGAAATTGTCCCTTTTTTTGGTTGGCGCACTCAAAACTATTTCCAGGAATATTTTTACTATGTAAGGCTACTTGGTGATATCTGTCATCATTGGGACTGCGCGGGGGTAGTACTGCTTGGAACGGCACGTATTTCTCTCTAAGCCGCGGGTAGAACTTATGATACCATCAACATCACCCGGCCGAACTACCTAACAAATCAAATCCTAATAATAATTCTCGGGACTTGAAGATTCATACAGATCGATCTCAACCAGTGGTTTTCTACCCCTTTTTTTCATCCATGGACCTTCTTTTTTTTTTCTTTTTTTCTTTTTTTGAGGAACCCCATAACCATTCAAAAAAGATCTTATTTTATATTTTACTAATAAATAATTTTTGGTATTGTATTATTGAAATGGTAAATGTATATTGTTTATTTTGAAATAAAACTCATTTAATGAAAATAAACTTGTATTTAACAACTAAATTCTATGTAACATTTATGTATACTAGTAAAGTAACTCATAATAAACCACTTTAAATTATGTGAATAATCAATAAATTTTAAAGAGTGCAAATTTCTTCACTGAGATTCTGTGGTTGATGATGCTTTGCGAGATTTTTTTTATTCGCCCATATCTATATCAATGATAGCCGAAGATCACCCCACCCCTTTCACTATGTCGAGTCTATCACTGTATTAATTAATTTATATATTATAATCTTTATATAATTGTCCTTTATATATATAATCCTTACTTTATATATACTTCTCAGTTTTTATTCAACTTTGAAAATCAAAACATCCGGTAGAATAAAAGGGACGCTAACTTACATCGCTTGATCTCGTTTTCTGCTAGAGTTGTAGTATTTTTAATATGGCCTAGATTACTGTAGAAATTCCAGTTCTCATTTGTAACAACTGTGAAGTGAAATTGCTCTTTGGACCACTACTGGATCCCCAATTTACTATTTTTGTGTGGATCCCCGCAGTGTTACATGGACCATCAGGGTTCATATGGACCCCGGTTGAGAACCTCTGAACTTGACCAATAGACTGGATCCAGTAATTATAAACGAAAAGAAGCAAACAAAGAAAATTGTAGATTTTACTTTTCCTGTAGATCCATAGAGAAGATCTAAAAGAAATTGGAAATATAGTCAAATATCATGGTCTTGCCAGGGAGATGAGGAAGATTTAAAATCTGAAGTTACGAGTCGTGTCACTCGTTATCATAACACTGAGGCTAACGACCACATCACGTTGAAACAACGATTCCTGTATGATCAGCGTAGAGCCTGTTCAGTACCTTGATGGGTGAAATCTTGGGAATATCAGGTGCTGTAAGCCTGGATGTGTGGGTGGTGTAATGGATAATAACTCAGAATATTTAATCGGAGAGCCGAGTTCCAGTTCCCGTTGGGTTGGTTGTATTCACTTATGCACAAATACCCTTGGGAAAGGTATAAATCCACCTCTTCGCCTCCCATCTATGGGTTAATTAGTAAGACTTTTATCACGAAACCATTATCACCCAAAATATTTCCATCTAAAAATATTTTCTGGATTTAAATAACCTGCAACTGGTTAACAAGCCAAAGGAAACGAAATAAGGAAATGAATCAATCAATTTCAAAACGTTCCAGTGAGCCTGAGAAAATGTCTGGAGGAAGTAGGAATTAAGGAAAGAGTTGAAATCACATAGCCTTACTGAAAACAACTAAAGTGCAAAAAATTGCTGAAGGACGGAAGAAACTTGTTGTCACTTTATCTAAAGTGTAAGCTTCTATAAAATAATAAAATATAAATGTTTTAAATCAAAAAGTAAAACAAAATTATTCTTAAAAAATGAAATCGATATGATGATGATAATGTAGCAGTAAAAATATAAATTAACGTTACAATAAATACGAAAAATAAAGCACACTAGTGTTGAGAAGGGTCGTGAGAGTCGAGGAAGAGAGAAAATATTATGACAATGATGAATAGGAAGATGATAAAAGAAAAACAGAAAAAGAAAATAATTATAATGATGATGAATATGAACATCTTAAAAAGCAGGAGGAGAAGTGGAGGAGAAGGAGGAGGAGTGGAATAAAAAGACAGAAGAAGAAGAAGAAAAAGAAGAGATGAAGATGGGAAAAAGAGCGATAGACGGGGTAGATGTATAGGAGAAGATGGTTGGAAGAAGATGGGAGATGTGTGGGAGATGAAGAGGGAATGGGAAGTGGAAGAAGAGAGAAATGAAGAGTGTAAGGAGATGGGGAGATGTGTGGTAGATTAAGAGAGAGAGAGAGAGGTGGGGGTACAGAAAGAAAAGGAAAAGGAAAAGGAAAAGGATTATAATGATGATGAATATAAACATCTTAGGATAACAATAACAAAAGTAAAAAAATGAATAATGAAGAAAAAGAAGAGGGTAGGATGAGTGGAAAAAGAAGAAGAGAGAGAGAGAAGAAGTGGAAGTAAGAAGAGAGGAGTTGGTGTAGAAAATAAGATGGAAGGAGAGATGAAAGAAGAGTGGGAGTAGCTGTGGAAGTAGGGAAGGAGGTGTGATGATGAAGAGAGGGAAGGAGTGGGAGAAGAAGAAGGAGAAGAGGAAGGGAAGAGGAGGAGAAGGAGCAGAAGAATAGGAAAAAAGAAAAAGAAAATGAAGGAAAAGTGAAGGAATAACAGAAATGCTGCATGAAAGAAAGCATCAATCCTCAATCTCTCACAAACACACACACTCTCTCTCGCTCGCTCTCTCTCTCTCTCGTCAGTTTATATCTTTCTTTTCAATTGCCTTCATGTCACACACATTTTTCTTTCTTTCTTCTCCTCCTTTCTTTCCTATGTTCTTTTTATCTTTTTTCCTCTTCTTTCTTTCCCTATTCTCCCTACTTTTCGTTCTCATTTTTTTCATTTCCCGTCAATTTTTCTTCTTTAAATACCTCGTATCTACCGCCTCTTCCTTTTTATGTTCTCCCTATCCACTAATCAGAAATATTCACCCCTTCCCTTTTTGCTATAACTTGTTTTCACCAGTTTTCTTCCCGCTCCTTTTACATTAACCAAAAGGACCATGGGTGAACTGACTGGCGGGAATGGTATTCAATAAAAAATGCCATTTCATTGTCCTACTTTGCTGCTGAGTCAGCTTTTCTCACACGCCTCTTTTGCAGTCGTTGGGGTGGTAAAATCTTATGTTTGTAAGCATTACTGTTTTCGTTTATAGACATTTATACCAAGAAGGTATTTTACAAGTATCTTATTGCACTAACTTCTTGTTAAATAAAAGAAATATGTTGATGATCTTCCAAATTTTATTCTATCTTTTGCCCAGGCTCGATCATCGCGTATTGGCACTAATGGAGAATATGGAACTACATCAGCCATCAAGCATGTTTTAGAGAAATTAGAATGACAGCAACGAACCATAGATAGATAGATAGATAATGAAGAGACTGAGATAGATAGATAGATAGATAGATAGATAGATAGATAGATAGATAGATAGATAGATAGATAGATAGATAGATAATGAAGAGACTGAGATAGATAGATAGATAGATAGATAGATAGATAGATAGATAGATAGATAGAAATAGGCTGGTAGACTTAAAGACAAAATGGGATGTAAGAGATGCAGTTAGGCAGAAAAATAATCACGAAAACACTGAGACAGATAGATAGTATTAAATCTCAATATCAGCCTATTCATATCAACCTATCTTAATGTATTCGTAACTCTATAACTGTATCCCTTCCCTGCTCCCAATGTGACTTATCTCTCTGTATAAGCTTATGCATATCTAAAACAGAGCGAGAAATTCCCAAAAACTTAAATTAAAAAAAGTTATTCTTCATTTTATATATATATATATATATATATATATATATATATATATATATATATTATAAAATATACTTTTAAGGTATGCTATATTTATGGGTTAAAGTGCTCAATATCAGGGATAGAGCGTATAAAAGTGGACATTGATGGCAATATCCAGTGGTAACAGTCTGTTTCATGCTTATACGCAATCGGCAGGACTGGCGATTGCTTATAAGCATGAAACGTAAATATGATCCAATTCATCAATTCTACAAATTCAAAAAGAAAACAGAAAAAACAACTCCGGAAATAAAAATAGAATTTAGAGAGAGTGTAAGTATGAGAGTTTGGGACGAATTTTAGAGCTAAAGAGAGGGTAACAGACGAGAGAAGGTGGGAGATTAAAACTTAACAGAGAGAAGCTTTAGAGAGGTGAGTTGAAGAGGTTTAAGTGAGAGAAATATGAACGTTGTCGGATGTCTAATACATTAAAGATGTAACCGGAAAGGATACATTTTGTGGTGACATACACACACAATAGACGATCTAATCTTCAAGATCATGGATTCTATCCTTTTGGAATTTTTTATTCAAAAAATAAATATGTATGTGTATGCACCTATGTATATATATATATATATATATATATATATATATATATATATATATATATATGCATATGTATGTGTATATTTACCACTAATATTATCTATCTATCTATCTATCTATCTATATATATATATATATATATATATATATATATATATATATACATTGAATTTCCCATCGACAACCTTATTCAGTTTTTATGTTCTGTCCCGCTAGTAACCTGCATACAAGTCCACATATTGTACAAGAGTGAGTATCTCGAGTCATAGCGACTGCAATATTTGCTGACGCTTTTTACCGTAGTCTTTCGTCTCTTAGCTGGTCAATACGACTGATTTCGAAATATATATATTTTGATATATAGATTTCGAAAATATATAGATTTAGCATATATTACTTAGCACATATATTTTCGAAATGTATTTATAGATTTCAAAATATATATATATTTAGCATAAATATCTGACTTTTGCATAAATTATCGATTCACTTATATTATCACTGGTAATTTCTTGTCCATTGTTGATTTTGTCATTGAAGACGTTGTTGGGGACGCTCTTAGTCACTCATACGCATGCGTAGTCCAATCGCAAGCCATTGTTCAAATTTCAACTCGTTAGGAGAATACTTCAAAAGAACCGTTCGTTCTTGAATTTGTTCTTTTAGAAAATCGTTCGTGTTAAGGTATTCCACTGTACAAATATGGAATTTTATTATATACCGATTTTAGTATTTGTTAAAATCTAAGACCATGACCCCGGTAAATTACACGGTACAATGACATATCGTCTTATATACTCCTGTAACGCTTAAATAGTCTTATTCACTATTTTGAAAAAGATCTTATTGGAGGTGCAACATTTAATTAAAGCAATAAAAGCAGGCATGCTTAAATTGGACAAAGGGAAACTTCGACTACATTAGTTAGCAATACGAAAAGAAAACAAATATATTTTATTTTCCTCGATCGAGTTTTGACTAGGTGAGAAGTTTATGGTATAGATTTGTTTTGTTTTTTGTTTTTTGTTTTTTTCGTACTGCCAACAACTGTAGTTGAAGTTTCTCTTTCTTCCTTTTGTGTTTCTTTTACTGCATTAATTATATTTTCTAAAACTCTTTCTCTAATTCATAAAATGAACATGCATTTGTCACTTTTATGTATGCCATAAGCGGCCCGCAAAAAATATCATAAATAATTTGGATCTTATTATTCTGAAAATATAAAAAAGATCATTATAGGACACCTTGTACATTTAAATAATTAATTTAAATTTAAGTCAATTTAAATCATTTTTCCTCATAAAATAAGTGACATTTCAGGATTAAAAAATGTCCCAATCACATACATAGAAAAATCTAAACAGCATCATGTTGAAAATATAAAATTTCAGTTTCCGAGGTGCAAAATTTCGAATTAATATTTGGAATATACATACAAGATGGCGGTCACCTCGTCATCGAGTATGACCAACGGAAGATATCAGCTTAAGATAACAAGCAATGCCTGTGCATGACATTTATGAAGTGGTGGTAAACGTTTCACTGCGTCAATCCAATTCTCTAAGCAAGAACATGTTAATCTTCAGGGGTGAATTGCGAAGACAAAAAATTAATGTAACTGATTGTTTGCGATATTTTGTAAATAAACGCCTGAAAATGATCTCGGATGAGGTTGAACGTACTTGGGAAAATAACAAAAAAACTACAGCGCCATCCTTAATGAATTTTATATCAACATTAAAAAGTCGATCAGAGAATTCGTGAGGATTAGAATAAAATAAATATACAGAGTATGTTCAGATTATTCAACCAAACATGCTTCCATGAAGGTATGCTGCATATATATATATATATATATATATATATATATATATATATATATATATACAAGTATATAATTGGTATATACGGAATGAATTCCAATAACCAACAATTACTATTCTTAAAAGAGTGCTCAATACAAAGTAGAGCAGATATAATTATGTTTTATAAAAAAAAAAAAATTATAACATAAGTATGTTATAAAATCACTACAAAAATAGCCATTTTGTTTCAACACACTCTGTGTCTTATCAAGTGATGATGTTGAAAATAAAATAAATGGTTCTAAAAGTTTCAGATTAATTAACGATCCTACACTAGGGGGAAACATTGTTACAAAAGCTAGAATAACCAATCAAAAACCAAGTATTTGAAAGATTCAAAAGCTTGACAACGAAATCATGTTATAATAGCTATTCAGATCTTTAAAATACGTGTAATATTAAAAATAATTTATACTTAATTAATCTGAAACTTTTAAAACCATTTATTTTATTTTCAACATCATCACTTGATAAGACACAGAGTGTGTTGAAACAAAATGGCTATTTTTGTAGTGATTTTATAACATACTTATGCTATAATTTTTTTTTTTATAAAAAATAATTATATATATATATAATGTAAAACATTTATTAAAAAATTCTCATGTTCTAGGTTTAAATAGGAATTTAGGAATACTCAATGCAGTTTCCACAAAAATCCATCTACAAACCCTCCACAAACCAAATCGTGGCAAACAACTACGCAAAACTACTAGATTTCATAACACATGCGCAAAAAGACTTCCCCCTGAAAAGTCCAACTTCCATTTTATTACTCTTTGAGAAAGGGCACAGACGTATCTGAAAATTCCGATTTTTAACATTTTTCTCATTATGCTTCTATTTGGTCCACAGGCCCAATAATAAATATTATTATTTTTATTATCGTTATTAGTGTTGTTTTTTTTTAACTCACTAGTTTCTTTCATCAGTATACTTTATCTGAACACACATACACACATATATATATAGAGAGAGAGAAAGAAAGAGAGAGAGATTGGTAGATGTGTCCATATTATTTCTACATACGCCTTATCAATTTTAAACTTGATTTTTGTTTTGGCATTTTATCAACTTTTTGTATTTTTTCTATTTCCCTTTTCCTCGTTTTCTGCATAAATAAATTGATAAATCCATAAACGCATGCTTTACAGTACACAGAGATTCACATTTAACGATTGGCTAAGAGAGTCGTCATATATAACTGCCAGCTATGATTATGAGAGGAGAAATATAATATAAAATGAGTTCATGTGTTCATAGATTTGTGACTATGAAACTCTTTATTGGAAATGGGGGTGGTTAGAAGAAAAACAGTAATGCAGAATATTGAACACGGAAATGTATATGAACGTGTATATCTGCCATCGGTGTTTTTCTTCATAAAAACGTGACTGAGTGAAAGTCAGACTCATAAAGAGACGAAATATTTCAGGCTTCTTTTTCTTTTCTTTTTTTTTTTTTGCTTGTTTGTCGTGTTTTTTTGGGTTTTTTTTTTTTTGTTTTACAGCAACAACAAGCACGATTTTCAATCTTTGCTCCATTTCTAATTGAGGAAATTTACTAAGTATCTGTTTATTTTTTCTTCATCTTAATATCTTTTTTATATTCTTCTCCTATATCTGCCTATATCTCTGAGATTATTTATAATTATTTACATTATTTACATTATTCGGACTGTTATCCTCATCTTCATTGCCATATTCATAACCTTTCGGCCGTTGTACGCTATTGCTGAGACATTAGATTTATAAGTCCCATAAATTCATAAACCTATGTCCTTAAAGACATATGGCCCAGTGGATAAAGATGTTGGTAAGAGCCAGGGACTAGTCCCAAAGACTTGAGTTCAATACAGGCTACAACAGTGGTGAACCAAAAAGACTTGGAGAGTTGAGTTAAAGGGAGATAACTGAAACATCTCGAAAAGGCATGGTAAGTGGAACTAAAACAATCTACCTCGGTGAAGTAAATAAATGGTTCAGTTCGAAATTCCAATCCCTTGAAGAAGACCAGAGTGTACAATGGCCGAAACGTTGTGAATATGGCAATGAGGATAACAGTCCGAATAAAGTAAATAATTCTTCTCCTCTTCAGTTTTTCCTTGTCATATTAGTATCGTTTTATTACTATCTTTATTTGCGCTTACATGCAAGTTTTAATAAAGATCAAGTGACAACAAGTCTCGTAAATACTGTAGCAATCATTACAATACTCTTTGCTTTTGTTTGCTTCTTCCTATCCTCATTGCTGAGGGTCGGGAAGCATGGTCAACTGCACCAATGCTCTCCATTGTCACCTCTTACCCGTCACGGCTGTGCATACTTCCAGCGTTCTCTCTGTCCAATCTCTGATGTCATCATTCCAGCGTCGCCTTAGTCTCTCGGTCTCCTGCCCTCGATGCATCCCTCCAGGATGTTGGTGCTGAGGTTCCTGGTTCTGGTGGCATGGCTAAAGTATTATAGTTTTCGCTTTTTTATTGTCGCGACCAACTGCCTCTCTGTTCCCATACCTTCAGGTTCAACTGGCTTAAGGCTATATTCTGTTGAAACACCGATCCTCTTACAATCACCGAAGTGAAGCAGCATCGAGCCTGATCAGTACCTAGATGGGTAACTGCTTGGGAATATCAGGTACTGTAAGGTCGGATGTGCGGTTGGTGTAATGGATAGCGGCTCAGAATTGGAGATCGGAAATTCGAGTTCCAGTTCCAATCGGGTCCGTTATATTCACTTATGTGCAAATATCCTTACGAAAGGTATGAATCCACATTTTCTAAAAAAAAAAAATGCTATGAGTTAATTAGTAGGATTTGTATCAGCAAATCATTATTAACGTAAAAAATCCCAATCATTATTATCTCCAAATAATCTAAAATAAATTCTGGCTTTAAATAACCTGCAAATTGTTGATAAGCCATAATAAAAGATCTCAGTATATATTCTGTACAAGAATTGCGTCACAACTTATAAGAATTTGAATTTTGTCAACCAACTTTTCTAACCAATAAGAAATGAGAAAAAGATTGCTGTCCAGCCAACAAGCACCTAATCTGAAAATTATATACGGAAATGATCCAGATAGACAAAAATTATCTTAATTTCCAATAATCGTTTAGTTTTCTTCTGAGATCACTTGACAGGTATTTAAATTGATTTAATCACTTTTGTATTTTTCTTTCTAGTCTTTTCGAAATTCCTACTGAAATATCTGCATATTTCTAAGCTAAATTCTTTCTTAAATTCTTTCCATCATCGTATCAAAAACCATCCTAAAAACTGATGTTCCTAAACTGTCACCGACTTAAATGTTGATCAGGTTCGATGTTACTTAATTTCAGAGATCAGGTAAAAATCAGTACATGACGCGTTATTTTGATTGCAAACTCTTCTTGTTGGTCATAGCATTTTGTTTGTTGCGAATGTTTTTGATATACTTTTTATGTTTTTGATATACTTTTTATATGTGTCTAAATATTATTCATTATATTTTTTTTTTATATGTGCGTATATGTTCTTCATTTTTTAAGTATTTTACCCCAAGTAAGGCAATAAAGCCACTAAGACGCAGATGTTTACTGAATGTGAACCAATATGTGAAATAAATGAAACATTATTAAGGAGAATGAACAATAATAAGAAACAGGAAAATAAGAAGACAGAAGGTAACGTGTGACAATGCATTTAGATATTTGAAGATTAAACTTGACTGGATAGCAAGAAGCCGGAAGAAAGTTCAATAAACGAGAAGTACGTAAGAAGAATCTATTAACATAGAACTTACGGTTACATCTTGCTGTGGATTCCGGGATGAAATCCGGTACCAATAAATAACAAACGCCAAGAATAATTATAGGAAAATAATGTATTAACGTAATAATACAAACTGGTAATGCAGGTTAGTAGTTCCATGAATACGGGTTAGTAGCAAAATATCTATACAGTCTTTGGTATTGAAGTATCGCTGTATGACTTCTTACCGAGTTTACGTGCTCGCTCACTGTGACTCTTGCTCGCTACGTTCGTTCTGTCTGTCTGTTACCTTCACCTTCTGTCGGTTACCTACAACGCTGTTACCTCACCCTCACTCTTCCGCTTACCTACAACCTCCCTCTCTCTCTCTCTCTCTCTCTCTCTCTCTCTCTCTCTCTCTTTCTCTCTCTCTGGTCTTCACGTAGCAGTAATATATGTATATACTGGGTGAGTCCATTTGTGTAAAAAGGGGAAGACCCCTCAACATATCTCTCAATTTCAAATGTAAGAAGATGGGACATTTCCGGCAATCTAGTAATACGCTTAAATTCATTATAGTATTTATATTTGTGTATATGTTATTCATTGTAGAATTTTTATGTTTTAAATGTTATATGCTATAGAACCTTTATATGTGTGTATATTTTATTCATTATAGAATTTATATATGTATGTATATGTTATTCATTATAGAAATTTATGCGTATATATGTTATTCATTAAAGATTTTTTAATGTGGGTATATGTTATTCATTATAGAATTTTTATATGTGTGTGTATCTTATTCCTTATAGTATTTTCATATGTGTTATATATATATATATATATATATATATATATATATATATATATAATTCATTATATAATTTTATATGTTATATATGTTATTCGTTTTAGATTTTTTATGTCTGTATATTTTTTATATAATTTTATGTTACATATGTTATTCATTACAGAATTGTATATGTGTGTATATCTTATTCATTATAATATCTTCATATGTTACATATATTATTTGTTATATTGTTTTCTTTCAATACACTAAACCTAACAGACAGCAAATTGTGCTAAGTGAGTTTGAATTCCAAGTTTTATACCCGTTTCCAAATAATTCTTTTAACCATCAGTTATAAAAAAAAAAAGTATCGGAGATGAGGAAAGTGAGCATAGAATAGGCTGTGCAAGGGATAGTTTCGCTCAACACCGCAAGCTGCTACAAAAACTAAAAAAATAACCTATACACTCGATTCCAGTTCGTAAATAGTCTCTTCATATCGTGGCTTTCATATGGATGGCATGCATATCACTAAACACGTTTAGAAATATATAGACTGTAGGCTGTATACAACTTCTCAATCGTTAAAAATATCTTTTGGCGAGTGGAGCGTGAAGGCCTCAACTAGGGCCATCGTTCTTCGAACCTCATAGACTGGCATTGCAGAAACACAAAGAACTATACCAGAAAACAGAAACGACATCACGTGAGAACTTTCAACAGCAGAAACAACTAAATTTGGTACCACATGAAACTCGAAGAGAGAATGATGATATAATCAAATGATGTTATTTCACACTACCCCAAATAAAAGACAAGGAAAGAAACCACCATCAATACTGAAAAGGGCAATAGCAGCTACTGAACTTGAGAAACCTATTTTCTTGTAATATTGTTATAAGAGAAACATTTTATAAAATACAACCGACAGTAGCACTGACTGTTCAGTCAATCAGTGCCAAATGTTTTCTTATAAGGAAATGGATAATATTATCATTACCATTAATCTGCTTCTTACTGCAGTCTATCAGTTTTCCGGATATTTTAATCCAACATTTCGCCACTAGAATCACATTATGTTTGATTGAGAAAAAATAAATGAATATGACAAACCACTCTCTCATGGCTAAGTTATATTGACATGCATTAGTAGCAAACATCTGTCACCGTCACAGTGACTTTCATAGGATGCAAACAATATAGTAATTATTTGAAATACGTGACTTCAAATTTTACTTTGTTTTCCACAATGCATGTTTTGACGTGATTGTACTGATGTCCTTCTCGTTCATTCATTTGTTCTTTATCAGCCAGAACTTACGTATCTATTCTCTACGTCTGTTCATATCAGATAATTCATCTATGGCCTGTCTCTCTTTGTTGCTTACGTTGCCAATTGAATTTTACAGTTCTTATGCTATTACTTTCCTTTCTTCACAATCGACATTTTTAGCGATTCCCAGTAAATTCAAAATCTGATAAGCAGACTCGCCTGAAAATCTGTTTTGCCTGGTCAACAAGTCACTGGCTTGTTTCTTCGTATTTTATCTTTTCCTTAGTTTATATTTCAAACATTAATCTTCTGTAGAGAAAACTTTATCAGAAACCATGTTCCTTAAACAGTAAGTAATGATCAGATTCTAACATTATAAAAGTCATTAATTATAGTAATGGTAATAGTAAGTTTGAACCGTTTCCATACACTAAAATCTCTATTCTTGTATTATTTGGTACTATTGTTATGAACTTGATTACCGCTGGTCATCATCATCAAATGTCCACTGATTTGCGTAGTGGATATACGAGTTGGTTCTAAATGTATTACTGTCATCTAGTGTTCATAATTTCAATCTTTGGATCAGGTAGTGAAACACCAGTTCAGCAGGAACGAACAATACCTGATATAATAGAGATGAAATATATAATATTAGCCAAACAATGAACACCTGATGATGACCAGTTGAAACTTGGTGGAAACGTGTTAATAACGTCTATATTAACCAAGATGAAAGAAGTATTTCGAAATGATACAAAAATATCGACAATTACAAATCTCAGAAATGAAACACTAAATTGCTAAAGTAATTGAAGAATACATTTTTCAAATCAAGTGTTTCCTATAAGGTTGCATTTGAAAGCTTTGCAATGTATTAGGCTGAATCTATTTCTGGGTCATTCATTTGTTTACTTATCTTTCCGATGTTTCTCTCTTGGGAAGATGATTTCAGCTTAAAATACTTTTCTTTTCGAAATTATTTTTTAAAAATGTATTCTTTCCAACTAAACATGAACCCAATAAGGTAGTTTTCAATAAACCCAACTACGGGATTTTCAGAAAAAAAAGAAATCAAGAAACGTATGAAAATGAGTTATTTAAAAAGCAAAAAGCAACAATAAACGTTCAAATCTTTCAATGTCCTATCAAATTTTATTAAACATAGCAAAAAAGGCGTTATTTGAAGTTACCGTTATTTGATGTAATTAAGTATGCAATCCTTTATAGGAAAATATTTTTAATCATTTCATCTCACACAAAGCAATAAAGCCACTGAGACTCAAGGAGTTACTGAGTGTAAAAGAGTCAGCGAAAAATAAAAAAACATTATCAAGGAGAGAGAAAAATAAAAGAACAGGAATTAAGAAGACAAAAGATAACTATTGACATTCAATTTTAATTTTTGAAGATCAAACTTGACTGGAAAGCAAGAAGTGCGATATGAGGTATACTTTTGGGTGAATATTTTCCCCTAATAGGCTGTCGTTTCTTTCTACGGTAGAGTGGTTGCCATCCAAGGCATTAAGGCCCAGTTATTAATAGCGACAACAATTTCAAATAAGGCCTCTTTATTCCGATAACATAATCATATGACATTGAGAGATTTGAACGTATATTGTTGCTTTTTGCTCTTTAAATATCACGTTTTGATACCTTTCTTTGTTTATATTTTTGGCTTTTCTTACAGTTGAAGTGACTAAATGTAACTGTTTCTTCTCTCGCACCTTTCGCTTGTGGAACTCTTTTCAGGCTTCTTGCTTTACATTATACATGACATCCATATGAAATTCTTAATATGACCAGATTATTTATGAACAGGACTCAAGTTTTTAGATTAAA